ATTGTTCAACAAATTCGATTTTGCAACCTAAAAAGCCAATTTTCGACCAAAATGAGAAAATTACAATTTTTCTCAGTTTTTATATAGCTTTTACAATTAATTTTAAACAGTCAAATTCAAAAAAACCATTAAAACACTTGATAGTACGCTATCAAGCATTTCTGGACTTCTAATAAAAATTCGGCTCCCCGGATACCGCGAAAAATCCAACCTACCGTATTCCCGCCCGGCGATTGCCCTCCCCCCTCAAAAGTGACAAGATGCTTTGTTTTATTTTTAATATTTCCTTTTGGAGAGATCCCACTGGCCGTTCGTGCGCTTGTTCGCAAAAGTGTTTCTCCCCCACTGCAAAGCAAAAAAGGATGTGTCGCAAAATTGGATGGGGCGTGGGCGCTTCGGGGGTCCCATCCCCCACCCACCAGAAAAGGGACGACGGCCCCCTCAAAAGTGGATTTGGCCCACCTTTCCCGCGGTGAGGCCCAAAAATTTGGACCTTTCGGGTGGGCACACCAGGCATTTGGCCATTCCAAAGAACAGCACATCGATTTGTGGTCATTGAAACTTTCGAAGAGGGCGATGACAGCAAGCGTTTTCTGAGGCCCATGCTGGAATTCTTGACCTTGCTGTCACGCTCCCTTTAAGACGCTGGTTCGTAATAACCTACCGTAGCCCGAAATGCGGGGCCTGGATTTTAAAGGGAGCGTGACATGGCTGTCTCTCTCTAGCTCTTTCTCTCTGTCTCTCTCTGTCTCTCTCGCGCTTTCGCTTATCTTTCTCTCTCTATGTCTCTCTCGCTCTCTCTCGCTCTCTCTCGCTCTCTCTCGCACTCTATACCTCTCTGTCTCTCTCGCTCTCTCTCGCTCTCTCTCTATCCATCTCTCGCTCTCTCTCGCGCTCTCTCTATCTCTCTCCCTCTCTCCCGCTCTCTATTAATTTTTTCGAAATGGCACAACCTTGTTTTGACCATTTTTATCCGATTTTTTACCCGCAAGACCCAACCAAAAATATCAGCCATGAAAAGCCACCTGCCATCCCTCGACTCCGTCACAACCCTATCCACACTCCTCCCCGCCGGGTGGGGCGCAAACAAAATTAGTCTCCTATTCAGATCTCTGGGGGCCCCGGCGACGCGCCAACATTTTCATTATATTCTTTGCCTTATTTTTCACCTGGACCTTTACTTTTGAATTTTTTTCGGGGCAGCCTTTAGTCTGAGTTTTGGGTTTTTTTGAAGAATGGCATCCGGGTCTAGGGTATGGCAAATTCGCATTAATGATAGGTTGCGTCGGATCAATCAAAATTTTTGCTAAAACTTGCTGCCACCATCCCTTTAAACTAAACTTCAGCTTAAGAAGCTTGGTTTTAGGGCGAGCTTAGCCTAGGGCTTGGCTTAGCTTAAGCTCAGCTTAGGCTTGGCTTATGCCTGGCTTAGGCTTAGCCTCGGCTTGGCTAAGGCTTGGCTAAGGCTTGGCTAAGGCTTGGCTAAGGCTTGGCTAAGGCTTGGTTTAGGCTTGGCTTAGGCTTGGGCTTGGCTAGGCTTGGCTTGGGCTTGGCTCAGGCTTAGTTTAGGCTTGGCTTACGATTTTCCCTTAAGCTGGGCTTAGATTGGACCTACATAGCCCACAATTTTTGCTAAAAATGCGCCTAAAACTTTTTCACAGAACTTAACAAACTTTTTAAAATTTCTCTAGCACTATTTTCTTTTTACACCCATTTTTCCACTCGAATTCGTTCAAAAATCGCCCGAATTTCCGCTTCGCCAACGATCGGGTGAGCGGGGGGAGGAATCGAGAGTTCCCCTAATTCGATTTGGACAGTATTACTGCTGGCTGTGGGTTGGCTGCCCGGTTGACTTGCCAAATGCCTGAATGCGGGGGGGGGATGAACGATATCCGTGCCCCGGAAGAAACAGAGCAAGAAGCGCGTGTGTGGGTTCGTCAAAAAAAGTTGTTGGAGGACTTCCCCCAATTTCCGAGGCGATCCACGGAACGGCTGGGGCGATTTTTTTGGGATTTGACTCATGGGGGAAAAATCTAGGGCTTCTTGAAAAGTCCGAGTCGTTTTAAAGGGACTAGCAGGGCATGCTCATAGTTTTGGTAATGGATTTCCGAAGCGTTTTTTGGCACCGCGACACACATCATGCTCGGTTTTCGCCGTTAATTCGAGCACCCGTCCGTTCCGCGTAAAAATGCTGTTGCGCAGCTTTAGCGTAGCGTTTTCATAGCGTTTGCGTAGCGTTTATTTAGCGTAGTGCGTTGCGGGCATGGAAAATTTTTGTGGAAAACCGACTAGCCACTCTCCTTTAAAGAAAAGTTGAAGTGGAAACCCATAGCCAACAACTTCAATTGTTGACTTGATTGGCCCTTTAAAGGGGGAATGGAAAAGATCCATAGATCCATAGACCATCTGGTTAATCGATATTTCCAATTTGAAGCTTCATACGCTCAATTAGGGACTTGCCCTTATTATCGGCCTACTTGTTTTTCCGCTTTTCTGCCCCTTACCGGTTTTCCACACCCCCTCCAGCAAAGCTTCTCCCGGTCTCTCTCTCTCTATCACTCTCTCTACTCTCTCTCTCTCTCTCTCTCTCTCTCTCTCTTTCTCTCCATTGGTTATCTAGGGATGGAACCCGTTTTTGCCTTGTTCCGTCTTGCCTTGGATTGGGTGAGATCTCAGTGATTTACTGTTTCTATTGTTATAATTTTGCCGTAAATCCTTAATCATTAAATCATTATTGTTATACTTTTAATTGTTGAATTATTATATTTTATTACTATTGACAATCCCTTGAAAATATCGAAATATCGAAAATAGCTAAATTTAAACTCCGTCAACGCCTAATTTTTATTAGAATTAGCTAATGAAATAAAAAATTTCGGAATACTTCAAGAAAGAATATAATTGGTTTAATTATGTAAGAATATCTTTATTTTAATTAATTTCTTTTGGTCTATGTGCATTATTTAATTTTGAATAGACCACCGACTACCAAAAAAAACTTTTTATTTCTTTTTCCAATTAACACCAAAATCCGTTGCGCCCCCAAAAATACGGTAGTAACCTTTCCCCACCCGCGATAAGCCGCTACCGGAAAACACAACTTACTCACCGTAACGAGACAATTCTCTCTGGCCCACAGACGATAATCCCCCTTACCTACCCTCAAAAAGACAATTCCGGGGCCCCCGGGCTACTTTTTGCTAATCCGGTGCCCCATATTTCCCGAATCCCCTGGAGACTAGAGCGGCGAGAGAAAGAGTGAGAGAGAGAGAGGGGGAAAAAAAGACAAATCGTTCCATTCCATCTCGGAGAATTCTATTCCCACATTTTTTTGGTTTCTTCAGGGTTGGGAATTATTTGGTGTACCTTCGTTGTTTTGAATTTTGAGGGGCTTATTGATTTTCGCTGGCTTTTTAAAGAGATTTAACGGTTTTTGAGAAAATAGACGCGCCGCGTGCTGTCTCTCTCTCTCTATCGCTCTCTCTTGCTCTCTCTTTCTTTCTCGCTCTCTCTCATTCTCTCTTTTTCGTTCTCTCGTTCTCTCGCTCACTTCTCTCTCTCGCTCTTTCTCTCTAGCTCACCCCGTCTCTCTCACTCGCTCTCTCTCAATCCAGCCCTCCCAAAATTTTCAAGTCATCATGGATGGAAACTTCCTTTAATTTATTACTTTCAGGCCGCAATATGACCCAAAAACAGAAGACTGTCCGAATTTTGATCATCGGAGCGGAAGGAGTCGGAAAATCAGCCCTGATTTATCGGTTTATTACAAAGGTTCGTGAATTTTTGGAAGTTCAAAAATTAGCTAACTAACAAGGATACCTCCCCAGCTCGAAGTTCAACTTCGGTTAGCTAGATAGCGTATCAGATGCAGTTTTTCGCGCTGATCACGATCCCGATATTTATTTTTGCCCAAATCCATAGGAACACCATGAAAAATCATTTGAAAAATTGTGCATTTTTTGCCTGGCTGGGCGTGATCCGCCTCACGCGCTTCAAAGCCTCTTTCCAGAGAGAGGCATCCATCGGTGGCATGGTGTAGTCGGCAAGTAATTGGTCTACCAATCTAGGGGTCACTAGTTCGAGTCTTGCAGCTGACGACTTTTTTGCTTTTTGGATAAAAATTGCTGTGAAGGCCATATGGACGCCCAGTAATAATATTTCTAGTTCTTTTTGGCCCATTTGTCACCAATTGAAGTATTTTTGGCAACAACATAGCATCGTTCTCATAATGATTATCAGTAATTGTGCCATTAAAAATTCTCCTTCCCACCCCGGAGCAGATAAAGCTAGACATAAAAATCGAGCGTAACCAAAGCCCAATAATTCCTTGTCGGAAACTCAAAACATTTTTGAGTGAGCACTACAATTAATGACGATGATTGACATGACGATAATTCGAAATTGCGTTCACCAGAAAGAGTAAAACTGAACGTAAAATCGCAAGCGAACCGACAAACCGATGCAAAACCGATAAAAATTTTATTACTGGGAGTCCATATGGCCTTCACAGCAATTTTATCCAAAAAGCAAAATAGTCGTCAGCTGCAAAACTCGAACTAGTGCCCCCTAGATTGGTAGACCAATTACTTGCCGACTACACCATGCCACCGATGGATGCCTCTCTCTGGAAAGGGCTTTGAAGCGCGTGGGCGGATCCGCCCAGCCAGGCAAAAATGCACATTTTTCAAATGATTTTTCTGGTGTTCCTATGGATTTGGGCAAAATAAATATCGGGATCGTGATCAGCGCGAAAAACTGCATCTGATACGCTATCTAGCTAACCGAAGTTGAACTTCGAGCTGGGGAGGTATCCTTGTAAGTGACCGCCACACTCCTCGCAAAACCTGACCCTGACTCGCCCTTTTAAAGGGACAAGAAAATTGGCCGTGAACTGACTACGCATTGCTCCTATGGACGCCCCCATGAACCGTTAATTTCAGAGAGCGTTCGACGGTACCCCAGTTTTCGATGGACATACAAATCTCAGCCTCGACGGGGAGATGATACGGATAGAGGTTGTCGAGTGGAAAGAGGTACGATAATTTTACTTCGCATTTCTCTCGCTCGCTCCGTCCCTCTCTCCTCTCTCTCCTTCTCCTCTCTCTCTCTCTCTCTCTCTCCCTCGCCTCGAATTGCCTAATCGGTTGCAAAGTCGAACACCTAAGTTTACTAGAAGATGCAACCGCATCTCATTTTCAGGATATGGATCTGGAGAACGAGCGCACATTTTTCGACGCGGTTGCCATTATATTCAGCACCACTGATTTGAGGGTACGTCTGTGTTTTGAACCTGCCCATGCCTTTAAAGAACTAGAGAATCCGATAAGAAAGATGCTATCTCTTGATAGGACTTTGAAAACTTGAAAAATAATGTCTTAATCTATATCTAATTTATGTTTTCCTAATTTTTTTAAAAGTGCCAAAAATCATTTTTAGCTTTAGCGTAGGTATTGTCGTGCCGTTTTCTTTAAACGGGAAAAAACGATTGTTATGCTTTAGACGTGTCCCTTCCGAGTTCCAAAAAATCCAAAATTCCATCCTCCAAAAATTCAAAAACGTTTTATTAAAGGTATACTACCTTTTTAACCTTTCAGACGCTTTAAAATTCATATGTTAGAGTTTCGACTACGCCTGCGAGGTGCATCGCTACACCCTGGAGCAGCAGGTCGGCATCCCGGCGCTGCTCATCGAGAGCAAGACGGACGACGCGGCAAATAGCCAGATAAATCGGGAAGAGGTGCTGAACGTCGTCAAAAGGTCGCACACGAAACTGTACAGGTTAGTGAAGCGGAAAGAAGCATCATTTTCTATATTTTGTAGAGTATCCGAGAAGGAGAACTTCAACGTCACCGCCGCGTTTGCGTACTTGGTGGAGCAGGCGTTACAGGTCAGAGAGAGAAAAGAGAGAGAGAGGGAGGGAAAGAGAGAGAGAGAGAGAGAGAGAGAGAGAAAAGAGAGAGAGAGTGTGTGTGAGAGAGCTTGAGAGAAAAATAAAAATAAACCATAAAAATTCGACAATCGATATTTGGCGCTAAAGAAATCGTATTTTATGGAAATTTGATGTTATGAAGTTCGGCATTCCAAGATCAGCATTATTAAATTCGAATTCTTGAAAACCCAATTTTTTTCAGATCAAAGAAAGCGCCAACAACCGGAGTCGCGTCGAGAAGGCCCTTGATAGTAATTCGTGCGGCGAGAGTGTACAGGTAATTGCTTAAAAATTCTCCTTTTCTGATTTAAAATTTGATGAAGCGTATTTAAGTTGTTTCTATTTTTCAATTCCATCAATTAGCAATAAAAAATTTATTTAGAGCCAAAATCTCGCAAGAAGATGCAAATCTTTTTATTTCAGGTAGATGAGGACAGTCGGCCGGGCAGCGCAAAGATTGATCGCGACCGGAAGAGGTGTAGCATCATGTGAATATGGAGAAGGAGCGCTGGGTTTCCATAAGCTGATGAAGCAGAAAAAAAATTATAACAATTATAAGCCACGGCAGAATGCGAATAAACGGGATGCTTTAAGAGGTTTTTATGCAGGTTTTTTTAAAGGGATAGCGACATCAATTTTACGCAGATTTTTTGCTGCGAAATATTGCTGTCACGCTCCCTTTAAAATGCATATTACACAAATGCAAGGCCGGCGATCGTTGTGAGAGCAGTAATAAAAGCTAGAGAAGGAGAGAAAGAGAGAGAAAGAGAGAGAGAGAGAGAGAGAGAGAGAGAGAGCGAGAGAGAGAGAGCGAGAGAGAGGGAGGGAGTGAGAGAGTGAGAGAGTTATCGGAATTAAAATAATTTGCAATGGATTTATTTATGGGATGAAGCTGTCGATGGTCGAGTATTCGCCCTTGATCGTCTGAAAATCGAATTTTTTAGCCTTTATAAATTCCTGCTTACCTTATAGGTGCCAGCAATGATACCGTAGGAAATGACGGCAATGATCAGGGCGAGGGCCTGGGCGAAGAGGAGGCCTGAAAACATGGATTTGAGCGAGAGAGAGAGAGAGCGAGGGAGAGAGAGTGAGCGATAGAGAGAAAGTGAGTGTGTGATACAAAGTAAAAACAATTATACCTCCGCAATCCTTGAAGTGCATGGCGTACATGATGGTCATGTACAGGAACACGCAGATGACCACCACCTAAAATTCGGATAATGGGTACCTTAAAAAATCGATACCTTAAGGATGAGATATGGGATGAGAAGCTTTGATTTGCGGCAGCAGAGACCCAACATGGCCACAGCGGCGATGACCAGCAACGACATCTCGACACCGATCTCCAGCTTTCCGAGCCCAAGATCGAGGCATCGGCCTGGAAAATGGGTTCCAAAGTAGGGGCAGCTTGCAGAGACAATTTGGGAATTTTTAGGGCATTCTAACAGAGGTTTTTGAGGAGCCGGCCGGGCTAGCGGAGCTCGTTAAAGAATAGTTGTTGACGGGAAGGAGCAGAAATTCTTGCGGAATCATGGTTTTGAGCGCTCCGTGTAGCAGAGATTCATGAGGAATAAGGCAACTCAGGCAGGCTAGCGCGGATTCTTGAGGAAGCAGAAGACTAAAGGCAAGCTATCAAAGACCCCTGACGTTTAAGGTTCAGGTAGATTAGCAGAGATCCTTAGGGAACTGACGACCCGGGCAAGTTAGCAGAAATTTTTGGGGAAAGGAGAGCCGGGCTTCTTGGGGAAGCAGAAGACTAGAAGCAAGCTAGCAAAGATCCTTCGAAATCGAAAATTACGGCAAGCTAGCAGAGATCCGTTCAAATCGCGCTTACCGGCGGTACTCCAGAATCCAGCATGTCGGTTGGCCTGCCGCCGAAGGTTGAACCTAAAAAAGACATGATCTTAAGAATTTAGTTTTTTAATGGTTTTTTAATATTAATTCTGTATTAATTTTTATTAATTAATTAAAACCTACAAATCAAAGTCGAAGTGCTTCATGGCAAAGAGAAGACCGAGGAAGATGTCGATGCACAGCATGAAGAAACACCAGAACTACGAGACACTACGAAGTACGGTGCTTCAATACCTACCGTAACCGAACAGCCGCAGATACGTTTGACCGCCATTTTTTAAGAGGGGGAGTTGGAGTTGGGGCTGAAAGTTGGATTTTTAAAGCTGGGAGCAAGAGAGGGTAGTAGGCAGACTTCCAGAGAGCATTTTGACAGAGGAGAAAATGGATAGTTCGGGCAGGCGAGCACAGATTCTTGGGGAAAAGCAATAATCATTGGGAAACCGATTAAATTCGTATATACAGACAAACTAGCAGAGATGTTTAGGGAAGAAAGGAGATTGAGTGAGGCTAGCAGAGATCATTTGAAAATCCACGAGAAATGGGGAGGGGCGGCTAGCAAAGATTCTTGAGGAGAAAAGAAAGGGAGGCCAACAAGAGCGCTGGTAGGAAAGGATCGGATGTAGGGTGACAGCAGCGAGTTTTTGAGAAATTTTTAGAGGCGCTCGATAGAGGGCAAGCTAGCAGAGATTCTTTGGGAAAAGGAAGGGGCCATGGGGATGCTAGCAGAACTTACTTAAGAAATCGCAAATACGGATCAAATTGGGCAGGCTAGCAAAGATTTTCAGAAAAACTCTGTTTGAGGGGAGCTAGCAGAGATCCTTTACGATTGGCAACTAGCATAGAAAAATTAGGAAACAGGCCTAAACAGGCTAAATTAGGAAACTTATAGAGGCCCAGGCAGGCTAGCAGCGACTCTTGAGGAAACTTTCATCTTACAATTTTACAATTTAAAAAAGCCGCTAGACAGCCTATTTACATAGAAACTCTAAAATTCCCTGTTTATCTTCTAAATCTTCTAATTCTAATTCTGTCTAATTCTAAACCTTCTAAAAAAACAACGAAAAAACGCTGTTTATTCCTAGTTTTTTGCCCTCAACTAGCCAGGGCGATAACTCAAAAAACGGACTGGGGGGAGAAAATAGGGGAAAACGGGCCGGGGGCCATCGGCCATAGCTGCCAGTCCACTCTCCCCTATTTTTGGCATGTGGCCAATAGGGCGAGAGAGAGAGAGAGAGAGAGAGAGAGAGTGAGAGAGAGAGGCCCAGGAGGCCCGTCACATGCTCCCCGCGACTCGGGGTGGCCCTCGTTTTGGGGCCCTCTTTTTCGGTGTTGATCCGGTTTTCTCTGTTCTCTCTCTCTATCTCTCTCTCTCTCTATCTCTCTCTCTCTCACTCTCTCTCTCTCACTCTTCTAGAGACACACAACAAAATGCGACTTATCGCATCCGGGGGCCCACACGAACCCCCTCAAGGCATCACGCTGCTCACAGCAGCTACTGCAAAAACCGATACCATGGCGAAACCGAGGATTTGCAATCCTGCACAGAGTCACGAAATTTCAGAAAAATCTTGGGCAAGCGAGCAGACGGCGTTAGAAAAGTTCACACATCGTAACAAAGGCCCGCCGGCGGCAAGACGGCAAGCTAGCAGTGATCATTTGGGATGGCTGCAGTGGGCAGGCTGGCAGGGGTTTTTTTAGGAAATTTGGGGCAATGAATTTGGTACTGAATTCATTATTGGCCTTCATCGGTATCACCATTTCCAAGAAAGATTAACAAGTTGCTTAAGCGAGAGAAAGAGAGCGAGAGAGACTGAGCGGACAGAGAGGACATAGAGAGAGAGAGGGAGAGAGAGAGAGAGAGCGAGAGAGGGAGAGCGAGAGAGAGAGAGAGAGAGGGAGAAAGATCGAGAGAAACAGACAGACATACATACAGAGAGAGCGAGAGAGAGAGGGTCAGCGAGAGAGAGAGAGAGAGAGAGTGAGGGAGAGATATCTTAACATTTGTAAAAGCGATAAAAATACAACGCACAATTAAAAAATGCAAAAATTACGGTTTTAGGCCATAAAACCACTAAAACCGAACACAACCTCAATCTCAATTTTTCAAAAAAATCCGCCCAAACCCAAATTGCAACAACCTTGAAAGACGGGGCCCAGCCGCCGTTTCGTGCAAATAGCGACTGCCCTCTCGCCTGCTGGAAAAACTGGCCTCCCCCTAAAAAAGTGAGTTTCTCTGTGCGGTGGGCTAAAAGGGGGACGGGGAGCACGAGTGTGTGTTACTCAAAAATGTATGCCCGCTCATCCGGGCCGGGCGCGCATTTTAGATTTTGCACAGCGCCGCTGAAAAATTGCAAATTTTCGGGTTGCGGCGCGGTACGAATCTCGGAGGGCCCGATTTAGAAGGCAGAATTTTGGAGGTGGCGTCTGAAAAACACTTGTAGCTTTTGGTCGTTCGACACTGGATGAAAAAATTATGTGAAATTTTGATGGAAAAGGGCTGAAACGATGGTACTGGCCTGTTAGCGAGGGGGGTAACGGAGGGGAACTAGTTTACCCTGGAATCCCGCATACAAATAGACAACAATTTTTATAGCATTTTCAAAAGGCCTTAGATACCAAACGCATAATTGTTCAGGCTTTGTTTTGGTTAAAAATTGATGAAAAATGACGATAAATGTCAAAATTGTTTAGTTTTTGGAAACTGTTTTGATGCGTGACGGATCATGTGCCATTAATGCGTTTACCCACTCCCTTTTTGTGCTATAACGCCTTTTTAATGCGACAGAAACAAAACCACGAAATTTGCCAAACCTTTTATTCAAAAACACCCGCGTAATGAGCATCATCAGAATTGCGAAAAACCACTGATTATTACAAAAAAATAGGGAGTTTCTTAGGTTAATGGAAGTCGGGCGGGAGTTCGGGTACTTGGCGATACTCATTACGGATCATGTGGTGGGTGCCCCAGACAACGAAAAAGGCGCCGATTGAGAGGACAGTTTCCACGAAGAGCAGGGGAAGCCAACCTGAAAAAGATCAGGTTGCGATGTAAATAAGTTAAGATTCGGAATTTTTGAAGCCGATAGAAAACGAGAGAGAGAGAGAGAGAGAGAGAGAGAGAGAGAGAGATAGCAAGGGAGAGAGGGACAGAGAGCGAGAGCAAGGGAGAGAGCGACAGAGAGCGAGTGAGAGTGGGAAAGAGAGAGAAAGAGAATGATATAGAGAAAAGAGAGACAGATAGTGCTTGAGAGAGAGACAGAGAGAGAGCGAGAGAGAAAGAGTGAGAGCCACAGAGAGAGAGAGCGAGAGAGAGGATGAGAGAAAGATGTACGTTTTAGAAACTTGTTATGACACCCACTGTCACAATCCGGTGTCCCTCGTAGCGTCAGATAAATAAAAGTCCCATTTCTCACCATTTGCACGGCCTAAAATGCTAATTTCAAACACCTCAGTCCGGTTCCGCTTACCGCGGCCACCATATACGGCAGTAGTGGCCAAGACTTTCGTGTCAACAGGCCGCCAATGGCCAGGATAACGATGAAAAGCAACGAGATGTCATAGACCATCACTAGCGGTTTTAGCGAGCCCAGGCATTCTAAAAACTTGGATTACGCAGGGAACTAGACTTATTCAATGCTGATACCTCGAGCGAAGTCTACGATACGTTTCACCTACCGTAGGTCGGCATGAAAATGTCGGTGGTGTTGCGGAGGTCGAGCCTGGAAGACGCATTGTGTTAATTCCATCACATTCCATAACGTACCAATCGATTTTCAAGTAATGCACGGTGTTGACGAGGCCGAAGAACCCATCAATACCGAGCAGGAAATAGCACCAGCACTGCAATGAATCTAGGTATAAGGGCAAGATAACTTTACGGATTTTTAATATCCTCATCGTTTTTATCATTTAAAGGCGTTAGAAAGCCAGCCGTCTCAATCGATTACGACATGTAATTCTAACGATATTTTCGCCGAAGTAGCGCAACGCGTATTGCTTTTTTTACATGAAATTGCGGAAATTCGGAAAATTTATAATTTTTTCTTGGCAGTAATATTTTTTATTTCCGAAATGTCATAATATTTTTAGAAACTAAAACTCACAATTAAACTGCAGCAGCACAATTTTTTTATCGTCATTGTAGTGTGAGTCTGAGCTGCTAAAGATAACGCTTTTGGGTAGGTTAACAATTTACGTTCGAGAGAGCAATTTACCAAAATTTCAAAAGCTATAAAATTATGCAAATAATAAAAAACATCAATAAAGTGTCTAAAGGATATAGAAAAATGCAGTCCAAAGCCGCATTCAAGGGGATATTTTTGCATTTTCTGCGTGAAAGCGTTGGCTCAAGGACGCGCCAGTGAAGAGGAGGAGGTAGAAAAGAAAATATCGTAAAAGAGGGCGAAGAGCATCGAGGAAATGGAAAAGAGACTGAAAAGAAAAATGTAAAAGAAGCCCAAAGAGTGGTAAAACCAAAGAAAAAAAGAAAATAGCCTTTTCCGGTCGGTGCTCGAGCCCGTCCGCACCTTGACCAAACACGGAATTGACGAACATCGATTTTTAGGAGCGGGCTGGCCGAAGCTTTGGACAAACAATGACACTGGCGATTTGGCCTGGAAAATAGGCCAAAATCGCCCTAAAAAGGTAATAAATTCCGAAACTGTACTATGAACAATACCGGACTACCTCATTTCTGCTAAAATACTTTGTAAAGCAAAAAAGAGCAAAACTTCGGGCATAAATTGATCGAAAATGGCCGTGAAACTGTAGAAATATTGTGTAAATATTTAATATAAACTTATATCGTATTTATTGGGCAGTCTTAAAAACCTTAAAATTATGTAAATCATGTTGGACGCCGCAAAAGAGCAGACTGGCCGTAAACAAGGCGGCTGGCTGAAAAACGGCCGGACCGGTTAGGGGGGGGGGGGTACTCAACGAGGTCGCGATTTGCATATGCTAGCATGGTTTCGCAGATTTCAGAGTTGAAATAAAATTGCATAGAAAAGGGGTGGAATTCGAAAAACTAGCCATCTATGTTTACGGGAATACTCGTTTTCCCATGTTGCTATTGGCAACGGGAGGCAATTTTTGTTTTGCAACCGAGCGGAGCCCAGATCCGGCATCGAAGGTTTTTCGAAGATTTTGAGAATGAGAAAAAGATAGAAAGATCACGAGACAGAGAGAAAGAGAGAGAGAGAGAGAGAGCGAGAGTAGGAGAGAATGTGAGAGAGCATCGTGAGAGAGTGGGAGAATGAGAGAGAGTGAGTGAGAGAGCGAGAGAGAGGGGAGAGACAGAATGTGCGAGAGAATGAGATGGTGAGAGAGAACGAGAGAGAGAGAGAGAGACTTGCATTTTCAGACCACAATTTTCTTGCTGTCTCGGAATTCTTTTCATGATGCATCAACTCGAACGTCCGAACCCTCACCCCACGTGGAGATCAGAAATCAAAAACAGCCTGGTATCACATCAGACCTGGATCTTCCCCGAGGGCACATGATCATTGTGCGGAAAGGGAGAGGAGGAGGAAGAGAATGGTGGACGATTATGAATATCTTATCATGGCTGTCCATCTCAAGGGGTTGATCACATTCCCCCAATCTCCATAATATCCATAGCCACAACCACAGCAATCAACGCACCAAAAAGATGCCTCCGGTGAGTTCACTATTTTACGCCTCTCCTACCTAATATTTCGTTATTTACGTTATTACGTTATTCCGTATGCGATATCCGTATGAGCGTATCTCTAATTGTAGCCAGCCATAAGTTGGGTACGTTGTAGAGTACGTCCTACGTACGGCCAGCGTATTTTTGGCGCGTACGTAGGTATATGCCTCTCTATTTAATACCTAAAGGCGTATGTGCGCATTTTACGGGTAGATTTTGTTACTTTACTTCTCATTACGCTAATAGGCGCATTTTTCAGCATCCACCGATATTTGGTATTGAACGCCAGCGAAGCCGCACGCCCGAGCAGAAGCAGCAGAAGATGTTTGCCGAGCCGACCAGCCCGCAGCTGTCGGTGAGTTATGGATTTTTGGGTTTAACGTACCTTCGAAAGGCTTTGCTTGCCTAAGTTTTGTTTTTTATATAAGTTGTCTCTATTTCGTCTCTCCAGCGTTTTCTCTCTCTTTCTTTTTATTTGCCATCTCTCTCCCACTCGCTCCCTCTCTCTCATCTCTCTCTATCTCTCTCTCTCTCTATCTCTCTCGCTCTCTCTCTCTCTCTCTCTCTCTCTCTCTCTCTCTCTCTCTCTCTCTCTCAGGTCCAAACCCTTGCAAAACCCATATCCGGATCCCAATGCCAACCCGATCCGATCCCGAAACATTACCCCCTTCCCCCCACGTGCTCGGAAATCGGCGTGCGCCCAAAAAACTGGGGGGAGAAAATTACCCGGACATTTTGGGGTGGAGCCGCCCGGAACGCATCAAATCGCAACAGCCCCTAACTCAACCTCCCGGGATCAGTCAGTCGCTTTTAAAAGAGGCACCTGACTATTCGGGATTGCTACAGTACAGTAACCCATCGTTGATCGCTGCTAACCATGGCGCCGCCGAATACCCAGCAGGATGATGAATGGCTTGTGAGTTCCAGTACCGTGTCCTTCAACCGTACTTATTACATGCCTATCGTACTTGTTGTTACCGTTTCAAAGGGGCTTGCAAGTTCTCGTAATAGAGAGAGTTAGCGAGAGAGAGCGAGAGAGCGAGAGTGATAGAGCCAGAGCGAGTGAACGGGATAAAGAGAGACGGAGAGAGAGTGAGAGAGAGAGAGAGAGAGAGAGAGAGAGAGAGAAGGAGAGCGAAAGGCGGCGAGAGAGCGAGAGTGAGATATATAGTGGGAGCGCGAGAGCGAGAGAGCTAGCGGGAGGGAGAGAAAAGAGGGAGAGAGAGAGCGAGAGCGAGAGATATAGAAATATGTAGATACAAAAGCAGAAAACTAGATTGTCCATGTGTCCACGTACCATGTGTTGGGGTTTGAGTTGGTTTGAGTTTGATTTTTAAGTTGTGTACTTTCTCCCTGCATTTGCCATTTTTTGGTGGTGTCACTGCTCCTTTAAAGCCGCCAGGACATTCTGCAACTGATTACGACGGCAAATTCGTGGAAAATTCAGTGTATTACGTCATAAAATTCGAGAATAGCGTTTTTTGCGCTTTTACGCTCTTTGCGAAATTCTGGCCAATAGCCAACTAGCACGTGGCGCTACGGAAATAATATGCGCACCACGGACAGGACAAAGAGAGGCGTGACAAGGCCACGCACGCTCGCGACCAAACGATGATAATTATTGTGCAGCCACACAATCAGTCTGTCTGTCGGTCTATCCTTCTATCCGCATCGAATGATTGTGATTGATGGCGATTCGCGCTTTTCTTCCACCCCCACCAAAATCAACCCCTTTCCAATTTCTCCACCCAATCCGCGTCGATTTCGTCGAAAGCCATCCGAAACTCTCGGCGGCGGCGCCAATTTTGTTGTTGATTTGGACCCGAGATTCTCGATATTTCTGAGCTGCCTGTAAATGCCGGAACAAAACCAAAGCGACGCCGATTTGACGGTAATCATGGGAGCTGGAAGTTGCGCAGCTGGGAGCTGGGAGCTGCCGCTACCGCCTTTCAGATCCCAGCTCCGCTCCAGGTGCTAGCTGGGCTTTATTCACTGTTCAACTCCTAGCTCCCTGCTTCCTGTATATGGATTTTGTTAAAACTACCAAAATATCGACAATGATATCTGACAGCCCCAGGTCAACACACAAGGCGTGGAATTCCATTTTTTCTTCTTTTTCGGTTGTCGACATTTTGGTGTGGCGGTATTCCGATCGTCGTAATTCTTTTTTTATGCCATTCAGCGCCTAGCATTCACAGCTGTTAGCTTTCACAGCTCCAAGCTTCCACAGACTTTAGCTTCAACGGCTCCTAGCTACCAGATGGTCCTAAAGAAGAAGGGGCGCCTCATTTTTGGTTTTATTTTCCGGTCATTCTACACGGCTTCTAGCTAGCATGTTCAAAACTCTCGCGGCTACGGCCTTGTTCATCCAGCTCCCAGCTCCCAGCTCCAGAGGAACGACTCGATGAGCATTAAAACCGGGTTTTCTTATTAGCTCCCGGTTATAGAAAGCGAGATCCGGGGTTCGTGCCGCGGCTAGCTCCCTGATCCGAAATCCCGACACCAACAGCGAGCATCTATTTTTGTTCAATTTTATGCTCGATTTTTAGCGCTATGCGATGGACTCGTACATCGCTGACGTGTCGACGACGGCCGGCCATACGTCGATTATGTTCACCCTCAAGGAGGAGCCGGGTGCGTTGGCTGAGACGCTGAAGATTTTTCAGGTATGACAAGGTCGCGATAGGACTTAAAGACAAGATCTTAAACCCATTTAATGACAGTTTACGCTCGTGATATCTCTCTATCTCTCTCTCTCTATCTCTCTCTCTCTTTCTCGCTCTCTCCCTCCTCATCCCGAAACCCGGAAACAGTTTCAGTACCTTGAACGCCAAATGACCCTCCGTTCTCCCCCTGTCGTAAAACTCGTAAAATGTTGTGCTTTGGCCGCAGCTGCATTTTTTTCGCCCAGGTCTATCGGGTATCGCTATCCAGCGTCAGTCACCTGATCGCGTTACCGATTTTGGGGGGCCTGGCGCTGGTCAGTGAAGCGGAAGCGGCGATTTCTGGTCCAATACAGTAAACACACATACCAAAAAGTGGCAATTTTAGGACCGGAAAGTGAACTTGACGCACATCGAATCGAGGCCGTCGAAGACACACAAGGGCAGCTACGATATTCTGGTGGAATGCGCGCCGGAAGCCGATCAAAAAGCTGTGGAGGGGATTATTCAGGTAGGTATTGTTTTCTCTCTCACTCTGTCTCAGTCGCTCCCTCTCTCTCGCTTCCTCTAGCTCCAGCTCCTCTCTCTCTCTCTCTCTCTCTCTATCTCTCTCTCTTGCTCTCTCTCTATCTCGCTCGCTCACTCGCTATCTCTCCATCACTCTCGCTCTCTCTCGCTCCCTCCACTCTCTCCTTCAGATGTTCAAGAAAAAGGCGGAAACAATGTTCGTCCAGGACTACAACACCAACAGCAAGCAGAATATGGGTTGGTCGATAGGAGCCCCTCGTAGTCCAAATTTTCAGAA